TACTTCTGGGATGATATGGAGAGAAACTTCTTTTACAAGTTGAAAATACAGAGTACTTCTGGGATGATATGGAGAGAAACTTCTTTTACAAGTTGAAAATACAAAGTACTTTTGGGATGATATAGAGATAAACTTCTTTTACAAGTTGAAAATACAGAGTACTTCTGGGATGATATGGAGAGAAACTTCTTGTATAAGTTGAAAATACAGAGTACTTCTGGGATGATATGGAGAGAAACTTCTTGTATAAGTTGAAAATACAGAGTACTTCTGGGATGATATGGAGAGAAACTTCTTGTATAAGTTGAAAATACAGAGTACTTCTGGGATGATATGGAGAGAAACTTCTTTTACAAGTTGAAAATACAGAACATTTTATTTTTTGGAAAAGCCCCAGGATATATTCAACAACTTCTGTGAAAGTTTATTATCATGCTGAAAATATTACTTAGTCACAACTTATGGTCATTAGAAAATTAGAAAATTCTTCATCCAATAGAGAGCTACGGTAAAGATATATCCAGAGGAATATGAAGAAAAAAAATGGTTGAAATGCTACAGTGTCTACTGCATAATGTAGACATACAACAAATATTATGTCTCAGGGCCTACAGTACAATGTTTAAAAATAACAGTTAAGGTGTATTTCCAAGTAAACCATGTGAACTGTTCAAGAAATACCACCTTATACAATAAAATACCTGAAGTTATATAAAGTCTATATCTTTTGATTTATTTATAATATACATAAATTTCACATATATTTCATCTGATTCATTTACCACTAGAAAAGAAGTCCAAGCTTCACGTAAAGTAACTGACTAGGTGTACTCAATAAGGTTTTGGCTAGGATCGCAACCAAAACGTGACATTTGCTACTAAGTTTTGGTAATAAAATGTAGTTTAAAAGATTGATTATTAGTACTGATTACAGTCAAAACTCTCTTCAAGATTTCTGTATAGAGGAAGACACAGACTATAAACTAATTTTACACATCTTGAAAAACTATTAAAACATGACTTATGGAATGTGTGGACAACTGTCCAATATAAAACTTCTCACCAATAAGGCGATATTTTTGTAAGTCACTTACAAGATCTACAGAAGGCACATTTGTGGGAAAATTATTTGGAAACCTTCAGGCAAAGTTATACAAAAACCTCGTACTCTGCATCGTTCAAAGTACAGATTGTCATTTTCTGATATGGCATTAAAAAACCTGTAATAATGTTAAAGACTCTCCAGCAGCAATCTGATTGGTTAAAAACTAAAAACATCTGCATCCCCACTTATAAAACTAACTCTATATCTAGTTCACCATACTATAAAAACATTTTTAACAACTAACTTTATAAAAATCTTAGTAGAATCTTTGTAAAAAGTATAATCAATGAAAAATGCATGGTTTTTAATACTACTATCTTTAACTACTGTTCTTTACTCATCTTCAATATAATGTTAACTCCTTTGTAACAATGTTTGTAATTCACTAAGAAATGCAAGTACACAATGGTGGATAACATCTATCAAACATACTTTGATCTTTAACAAACTTGAGCTAAAACCTAGAACAACATACACCTTTAGTGTCCTTGCTTCTTCTTTACTTGCTTCGCAGCCTTGATCAAAGGAATAATAGTGGAGAGACTTTCAGCTTTTTCAAGAAACTTGTGCTGAAGTAGTTCTTCAGCTGTTGCTCGTTTGTCAACCTCTACAGCCAGGCAGTTCTCAAGAAAATCAAACAGTTCAGGTGAGAGTTTTTCCTCATTTTTTATTTTTGGCTTGCCATTTGTAGCGATCAAGTAGAGGGCTTTCAACGGGGGTTCATTCAGGTATGGTGGTTCTCCATCAATCATTTCTAGAACAAGAATCCCCAAGCTCCAGATATCCACTTTGTTTCCATAGTGCTTCCGTGTGACGACTTCAGGAGCCATCCAGTAAGGGGTACCAACCATCGTTTGACGTTTTTCCTCTGGTGCTATCTGGGCACAGAAACCAAAGTCTGTAACTTTGACATTCCCATCCATTCCAAGAAGCACATTGTCACTTTTTATGTCACGATGTATAATCTGGTTAGAATGGAGAAAGGCTAGAGCCTGCAAGATTTCACGACAAACTGCAGCCATCTGTCCTTCACGCATAACGGTTTCCTCAACAACATCGGTCAGTGCTCCTCCTTCCAGATACTCCATCACAACCCACAGGTTTGTATCCACCAGATAACAATCTAAAAAGTTCACCAAGTTTGGATGTCTGTGGATAATTAAAATTCCATATATTAAAACCATAACAGAATGTCATGCATATTATCCTTTAAACCTTAAATAACATTAGACTATTGATAAGCACATCTCACATGTATACCCAGACATAAAGTACAAGTGTTCACTGGTATACCCAGACATAAAGTACAAGTGTTCACTGGTATACCCAGACATAAAGTACAAGTGTTCACTGGTATACCCAGACATAAAGTACAAGTGTTCACTGGTATACCCAGACATAAAATACAAGTGTTCACTGGTATACCCAGACATAAAGTACAAGTGTTCACTGGTATACCCAGACAAAGTACAAGTGTTCACTGGTATAACCCAGACATAAAGTACAAGTGTTCACTGGTATACCCAGACATAAAGTACAAGTGCTCTAAGCAAATCTCACAGGAGTGCACAAGTAGATTTTGGAGAACAGTTTCTGTGAACTGAAAAGTTTATTAGTTTTCATTTCTCTTTACTCAGAAGTAACTAACCTTTTAACATTCTATAAATATTACTCTACATTATAACACAACTAGAATGTGAAAAAGTTATTAACTTCTGAGTAAAGATGGCTTGTAAACTATAAATATTACTCTACATTATAACACAACTAGAATGTGAAAAAGTTATTAACTTCTGAGTAAAGATGGCTTGTAAACTATAAATATTACTCTACATTATAACACAACTAGAATGTGAAAAAGTTATTAACTTCTGAGTAAAGATGGCTTGTA